AGGACCCGGGCGTTGGAGCTACTGCTGGTACTGAGGACCAGGGCGTTGGAGCTGCTGCTGGTGCTGAGGACCCTGGAGCTGGTGCTGCTGCTCGTGCTGTAGAGTCGGGCGTTGGAGCTGCTGCTGGTGCGAAGGACCCTAGCGCTGGTGTCTCTGCTGGTTGTGGAGTCGCTGCACGGCAGCGGCCGTACTTCGTTCCGCTCCTTCATCAGGTTCTTGGTCTCTCGCCTTCTCTCGGTCCTCCTCCTCCCTTAGAGTGTCCACAGCCTGTCCAGTCACGGTTACAGTTACAGCCCGCCTCCCCACTACCTGCTCCTTCTCCCTACACTGGTCCTACTGGAGGTCTTGCTGAGCGTCGTGAGCGTGCGTCTCGCCCTGCGTCGCCTGGCCGTACTGCTCGCACTAGTGGTTGCGGTTCGCATCATCGTCCTCCTCCTGTCCCTGGCACGCACCGGATGTCTCTGCGTCCGTCCACTGCTCCTCTGCGTGCCCCTTTGCCTTCTCCTCCTGAGTCCTCTCTTCCTGCTCTTCCCGACCCGGAGTCGGACTCTCTTCGTGCTGCCAGTCCTACTGTCACGCGTCTCCTTGCTACTGTCGTCACTGGCCCTTCTTTTGAGTCCCCTGCTGCGTCTGCCCTAGTTGCTGAGCTCGTCGACTTTGCTGCTCGCTGTCGTCTAGACTACGCTGCTAGGCTTGTCGCTGAGTCTGAGTCTGTCTGTCCTCCGTCCGTCGGGGGTGAGTGTGCCCTTGGCACGGACGTCCTTGAGGACAGGCAGGAGGAGTTCCAGTGCTTGGCCGCTGCTTCACCTCATCTCGTGTCCGTACTGCTTACCCTTGAGGGAGACCCGGATGCACTTGACATCCCGACTCCGCGCTCTTACGCGGAGGCGATAGAGGGTCCCTACTCTTCTCAGTGGCAGGCAGCTATGGATGCAGAGATGGCTTCCTGGAAGTCCACAGGCACCTACATTGACGCTGTCCCCCCTCCTGGGGCGAATATCGTCAGTGGCATGTGGATTTTCAGGGTGAAGCGGCCGCCGGGTTCTCCGCGTGTCTTCAAGGCGTGTTACGTGGCTCGTGGCTTCAGTCAGCGGCAGGGAGTTGACTACTTTCAGACCTTCTCTCCCACCCCGAAGATGACCACTCTTCGGGTACTACTGCACGTAGCTGCTCACCGTGACTACGAGCTACATTCTCTTGATTTCAACACTGCCTTCCTGCAGGGCAGCCTGCACGAGGAGATCTGGCTGCGCCGCCCACTTGCCTTCACTGGGACTTTTCCTCCTGGCACCCAGTGGAGCCTCCGGCGGCCAGTCTACGGTCTCCGCCAGGGACCGCGTGAGTGGCATGACACACTGAGGACTACACTTGCGGCTCTTGGGTTTGCTCCCTCTACTGCTGACCCGTCGCTGTTTCTGCGCACCGTCACTTCTTTGCCGCCGTACTACATCCTCGTGTACGTCGACGACTTGGTCTTTGCCACAGCTGACACTGCTGGACTCGCCTACGTGAAGTCTGAGCTGCAGAAGAGACACACGTGCACAGACCTGGGTGAACTGCGCAGCTACCTTGGCTTGCAGATCACCCGGGACAGAGCACGCCGCACCATCACCCTAACTCAGTCACACATGGTGCAGCAGGTCCTTCAGCGCTTCGGCTTCACGTACTCCTCGCCTCAGGCCACTCCTCTGCCTACTCGCCACTCGCTCTCAGCTCTGCCTTCGGATGAGTCCGTAGAGCCGAGTGGCCCGTACCCAGAGCTTGTTGGCTGCCTCATGTACCTGATGACCTGCACACGACCTGACCTTGCATACCCTTTTAGCATTCTCGCACGCTATGTTGCTCCTGGGAGACACCGATCAGAGCACATGGCTGCAGCGAAGAGGGTGTTGCGCTACTTGTGCAGTACGTCGGGCATGGGGCTAGTGCTTGGAGGGCGGAGTCCAGTGGTCCTCACTGGGCACGCGGACGCTTCTTGGGCAGACGACCAGGCTACGCAGCGGTCGTCACAGGGTTACACCTTCAGCCTTGGTTCCGGCTCTGTTTCGTGGCGGGCTACTCGCTCGTCTTCTGTTCTCGGCTCAAGTTGTGAGGCTGAGATCTACGCCGGGGCCATGGCTGCACAGGAGCTTCGCTGGCTTACCTACCTGCTGAGTGACCTCGGAAAGCCGCCTCGTTCTCCTCCAGTGGTGTACGTAGACAACAAGGCCATGCTGGCCTTGTGTCGAGAGCAGAGACTGGAGCACAGAACAAAACACATTGCTCTTCGCTACTTCCTTGCTCGTGAGCTACAGCAGCGTGGTCAGTTGCGGCTTGCGTACGTGGCCTCTGAGGCCAACACTGCTGATGTCTTCACCAAGGCACTTGCGCCTTGTGATCATCAGCGCTTCTGCACCCAGCTGGGTCTTGTACCTGTCTTGCCTCACTTGCTCACCTCTTGACCTTGCTTGTACTGTTACATATATATATACCTGCTCTTGCTTGTCTAGCCTTATATATATATGTACTCCTGCATGTGAACTGGCCTTGTGGCCTTGAACTTGTGCTCGGAATGTGTGGTGACTTTGTGATCCACCCTGAGCTTGCTTTGCTTTGCTTTACTTGACTGGTCTTGTGACCCCTAGTTCTCCCCCACTTCGCCTATGGGGGTGTGTCAAACATTATATATGTTGTGCTTGTTTAGGCTACAATGGGTTAGCCTGTAGGGGGTACACAATTCTAGGGTTAGGTACTTGTACTGATTTCACTGTTAGTTCAATCATTCCTGTTCATTCATTTCAACACAACCGCATCTGGGCACCCGCGTACTCATTACTGAGGGAACTGTTACTACAAGAGGCACACGACGGGATTATCTCGGGACATTTCGGGGTAGAAAAATCGCGACAGCAATTGCAGCGGTATTACTATTGGCCGGAGCTGTTGACCGACGTACAGCATCACGTGGGCTCGTGTCCTATGTGTCAGGTGATGAAGAGCTCGCGAAAAAGAAAGGCAGGTCAGGTGCAGCCGATTCCACTGCCTGAGCGTGCCTAGCAGCAGGTTACCATGGATTTCGTCATAGGGTTGCCTTCAAACCCTGGGGGTAACGACGCAGTTATGATCATCGTTGACAGGTTGACAAAGATGGCATACTTCGCTGCGTGCAAGAAATCGATCTTAGTCGAAGAAGCCGCTCGCCTGTTCATCGCAGCTGTCGTTCGACTGCACGGGATACCAGCCGCAATAATCAGCGATTGCACACGAAGCTCACTAGCAAGTTCTGGAAAAACCTTTGGGAGCAGTTCGGGACAAGGCTACAGTTCAGCTCGTCGTACCACCCTGAGACAGACGGTCAAACGGAGCGGACGGATCAGATGATGGAGCAGTTGATTCGTGCCACGTGCGACGACCCGACAACTTGGGAGCAGCAGCTGCCGCTGATTGAGTTCACGTACACCAACGCCATGCCAGCGACGACGCAACAGCCCCCGTTCTACCTGAACTACGGGCAAAACCCTATAGTGCCCATGACGTCGAGTCCGGACAACTCAACGCCACGTGCACAGCAATTCGCTAAAATTCTGCAAGCTGCTCGCACCAGAGCCGTTGAAGCAATAAAAAAGGCCAATGTCATCGCTAAGCGCAATGCTGATCGTCACCACCGCCCAGTCACGTACCAGTTACGCGATTACGTACCGCTCGACACACAGAACTTAAAATTGCCCGTCGTACTGAAATTACGACCGCGTTACTGTGGACCATTCCAAATCAGCCACATTATTACCCCAGTGACAGCACAATTACTGTTGCCGACAAAATGGTACATCAGCCCTTCATTCCACGTCAGCCTGCTTCGCCCATACATCCCAACCACAAGCCAACTGCCTCGTCACCACCCGCCATCCATGACTCGCCCTACATCGGAGCCGATCATCGAGCCCGAAAAAATCCTGAGCCATCAGATTCGACACCCTATGGGAATCAAGAGGATTGAATTCCTCGTTCGCTGGAAGGATCACACGCCAACTTAGGATAGCTGGGTGTCCCTGGCCAACATCGAAAACCACCCTGCCCTGCAAGTGTACCTGAGGAGCCGGGGTTTCCGCGATATACACGCACTCGCGTAGCGGAGGGGGCTTCTTGAGGGGGGGGTAGTGCCTTAGCTCGACACCTTAGTGCGCCCTGCAACATCGCGTACAGCAGCAGCCGTTGTTCGCCCGTTACTGCTAACGGGGCTTCGACGACTTCGCGCGCACTGTTTCACCAAACATCGCACTGCTGGCCCGGCCGTGTCGGCCTACGCTTCGGGACTAGCCCGAACCTCGCTGCCAGCATAGCACTAGCTAGCTCGCACGCAGTGCGTTACCGTTTGCATGTTACGCGTATATATGTTCGCTCATGCCTTCGCTCACATTTTGTACTCGTTTGACACCTTAGTGCAATCCTCGCTACCTAGATTCATTGCATCCGTAACAGGGTAGCACTTATTCTCGGTTCCCCTTTCGCAAATGGACGCAGCCAACACATTCGCCTCCTTTGCCTATTCGCTCCGGCCCCGGAGAAGAGCAGGCGCTGTAGTATCTTCCGCGCGAGTCGCATCTGCGGCGGCGCGGGCGGCTGCGGCTGCAACATCAGGAGTGGAAAGCGTAGGTGGCGCGAAAAGGCGCGGAAGGAACGGCGTCCGTACAGGAGAGGCAGGTGCAGACGTAAACGCGAACGCAGACGCAGACGGAGACGCAACCGCAGGCGGGAAAGACGAATGGGTACTGAAAAGCCTTGCGACCCCTGTTGCAGCTGCGGAGACTTCAGCGACACATCTGACGGTCGCGATGGCTTCATCTGCGATATCCGACGGCGCTGCTGCCGCGGCTGCCGCCGCGGCGGAAGGGCGCGCCTGGAGGGGGAAGAGACGGCGCAGAGGAGGGGAGGGGGTTCGAGGGGGAGGCGGAAACGGGCGGGACAGGGATAACGAGAAGGAGAAGGCGAAGGAGAAGGAGGTCGCGATGGAAGGGGAGCAGATGGAGAAGCTACTGAGACGAGACGTCCCCACTCCCCTTCCTCATTCCGCCTCCCCTCCCTCCGCATACACGCGTCTGCCGGCGTCCTTCTGCTGCCGGCCTGCTGAGGAGCTAGCACCGCTGCTGCTGGGGAAGCTGCTGAGACGAGACGACGTGGTGCTGCGCATCACAGAGGTGCATTCAGGGAGGTGGGGGGAGGGTGGTGGGTGGTGGAAAGGGGGGGAAAAGGGTGATGGACTGGTTTGTGAATTTTACTTTTGGGAACTCTCAAGAGTTAACGTGCATGCTCCTCTTCATGTCCGTTTGCTGCCACTGCATCACTCACTGCATCGCTCACTGCATCGCTCGCTGCATCGCTCACTGCATCGCTCACTGCATCGCTCACTGCATCCTTAAGCAAGTTTGCCGCATCTGTTGCATCCTGCTTCTCCTCCCCATCCTCCCCACCCTCTCCCTCCCACCCTCCCCACTCATCCCTTCCCCCCCTCGCTCCCTCCATCCTACTGCTTTGTCATTCTCCTTAGCTTCCTCACAGCTCTAATCTACGGTTTGTTGTAGTCGTTTTTCTTGGCGTTTTTGTAGCCGTTCATCTAGACTAGAGTCCTAGACACCTTAGCTGCCTCAGAGGTCTGATCAGCACTTTTAAACGTCATCCTGCCTCAAAGCTGTAGCCCGACCGATTCCATTAGATAACATCTATTCTCCTTCCCTTCCTTGTCTCCACCTCTTCATCCCCCCCTCCTTCATCCCCCCCTCCATCCCTTCCTGACATGGAAGCAAGGCAGGTGGAGGCATACACAGAGGGGGACACGGCATGCCATGCCCGCTTTGGGTGCACTGCGCGCACGGCCCCACTGGTTGGTACCCTGCTGTGCTGACCGCTGCTGCGCTGTGCCATGCTGCGCTGTGCCATGCTGCGCTGTGCCATGCTGCGCTGACCCCTGCTGCGCTGTGCCATGCTGCGCTGACCCCTGCTGCGCTGTGCCCTGCTGCCACTCGTGTCAATTGCACGTCTGCGCCCCTCTGCTCTGGCCTGCACCACATGCTTAACATCACAGCACACACACTCCTTGCTTTCCCTCCCTCTCATCCCTAGTCCGTCCACCCTCTGTCCACCCTCTCTCCATCCACCTCCCCATGTCACCACCAGTTCGGACCCCCAGGCGGCGCGTGCGTTTATCTGTGCTATAGGCTGCACCACATGCTCACACAGATCTCTTCTCTCCTCCCCCCTCTTCCCCCTTCTTTCATCTCTTTACCCTCACTCCTCTCTCTCCTCCCAGTTCGGCCCTCCAGGGCGAGCGTACGTGTATCTGTGCTACGGGTTGCATCACATGCTCAACATCACAGCAGATAGGGACGGCACTGCGGCTGCGTGCCTTGTGCGCGCATGCGAGGCCGTGGCAGGTGAGGAGTGGGGGGGCGGGGATGGGGGGAGGGAAGAGGGGGGGACAAGAGGGCTCTTGCTGTTTTCGGTTTCAGCCTCGTTTCACAAAGCACTCCTTGCTTTTCGGGTCTTCCCTAGTCTACCGCACCCCCCTTCCTCTCTTTCTTTCCTTTTCCTCGCCTGAACAAAAACTCCACCATTTCTTTCCTCCTTTCCTGCTCCCGTCGTCCCTACCTTGCTTCCTCTTTTCCCTTCCTCCCACTTCCTTTCCTCCGCATCCAGTTTCTTGCACTTTCCCTCCCTCCATGTGCTTTCGAGACACCCCAAGGGCCGACTCTACCCAGTGACTTTTGTGTCGACTCATAAATCACGTCTTGTCTTCTCTACTCTCTTTTCCCTCCTACTCTCCCCCCCATACACCCTCCCTCTTCCCATACCACACACACACACACACCCGCTCCATTCACCTGCATGCAGGTGTTGCCACGATCAGGGAGCGGAGAGGGAACCAACCCCTGACTCCTGCTCTGCTGGCTGGCCCCGGAAAGGTGAGGGGGACAGAGGCAATTGAGAGGGAAAGGTGAGGGGGACAGAGGCAATTGAGAGGGAAAGGTGAGGGGGACAGAGGCAATTGAGAGGGAAAGGTGAGGGGGACAGAGGCAATTGAGAGGGAAAGGTGAGGGGGACAGAGGCACTTGAGAGGGAAAGGTGAGGGGGACAGAGGCACTTGAGAGGGAAAGGGGAAAGGTGAAGGGGGGAGGTGAGAATGTGTGGGTGGAGCAGGATAAGGGTGCAAGAAAGGGACGCATTTTCCATCCCCCACTCTTCTTGCCACCCCTTCCCGATCTCGCAATCCCCACTGGTATCTTGACATTTCCACCTAGCTTCCTCCCCAGCACCCCAACCCTCACTCCTTGCATCAATGCGGCCCATGCCATGCCCATGCCGTGCCCATGCCATGCCCATGCCATGCCCATGCCGTGCCCATGCCATGCCGCGTAGAAAGAATGAAACACACCGTGCTGTTGTGTGCTGTGCAGGTGGCAGCAGCACTGGCCCTGACAACACAGTGGTCGCACCATCCACTGCACGAACCGGGTAAGTGCTTGCAGGTAGTGATGAGTGCTTTGAGGGCTGCTTTTCATGATAGAAATAAGCACTGCTCCCATCATTCTTGTAGAGTGATTCCCTTAAAGTTCATTAATTTTCACCCAACCACTGTTCACGTTCCGTATCCTTATTGGTTGCAGGGGGGTTGGAGCTTTTAGATGCACCACCTGTCGCCTCCGTACTGATTGGGCCCAGAGTGGGCATCGACTATGCCGACCCGTGCGATGTGGCGCTGAGGTGGCGCTTTGCGAGTGGCGGCACTGCATCAGTCAGTAACCCTAAGCGAGGGCTGCAGGTGCTGAGTAGCTGGCAGGAGGTTAGGGACGAGGATGAAGATGCAAACTTTGGTGAGGTCTGAACTATGAATTTTCTAGTTGTACCTCGTATTGTGTGGGTGTTTGGTCTAGTGGCATGATTCTCGCTTAGGGTGCGAGAGGTCCCGAGTTCAATTCTCGGAACACCCCGTTTTGTCTCCTTAGCAGCAGTGAGAGCTTGTTGCAGTAGGTTGTTCCAAACATTGTGCACCCTCTTTCTACCAAAGGAGGGCCTTTCAAACAGGTTTAGGGCATTGAAAACTGCTCTGCAGAACCCAACCTTACTCTTAGGGAAACATCAACACCTGCAAAGTTGTGCAGCGTTGCTACTTCAGCATACAGTGAAGGAAGTCCACCCACTTACAGTAATTGTGAACATGTTATCCATCAAACTCCATGCCTATTCTGTCAGACCACCTTCTTACCATGTGTAGTAGAAGGAAGAAGCTGGAGAGCTATTTTTACTGGTACCGTAACATCATTAAACATACCGTATCTCTCAACTGTTCAACAACCGTAGGCCACTTCATTCCACTGAGCGTGTGAACCCACTTCATTTCAATAACATACGGTACCGGTATCCCCCATCCTCTACCGAACCGTGATTACTCGGCCAAATAGTCGCCCCTAGCAGCTTCTTGTCTTTTTCTTTCTTTTTTTCCTGTATGGGCCTGAACTTGGACAGACCCTCCTCACCCATATTCACCCCTCCGCACTCCTCTTCACCCCTCCAGCAGAAGGTTAGTGGCAAGATGCAGGTCATTCCTCGCTCTCCTCAGCGCCCCTTCTGCTGCTGCGCGCTCAAACCCCATGGCTACTAGCGACTCTATGTGTGCTGCTGACGGCTCCACCACTGGTGCTGGCGGGGGGGGCTGGAGCGGGCGGGGAGAGTGGGGGGTTTGGGTTGGGGCGGGGGTGTACAGAGGGGGAGAGTGGGGGGGTTGGGTTGGGGTGGGGGTGTTGAGAGGGGGAGAGTAGGGGGTTTGGGTTGGGGTGGGGGTGTAGAGAGGGGGAGAGTAAGTGAGCCAAGCCGATTCCCTGCCTCTGCTGCTGCTGCGCGCTCAAACCCCATGGCTACTAGCGACTCGGTGTGCGCTGCTGACGGCTCCACCACTGGTGCTGCTGGAGGGGTCTGGCATGGAAGGGTGGTGGTAGGGGAGAGAAGGGGGGAAGGGGCAGGTGGGGTAGAGAGAGAGAGAGAGAGAGAGAGAGAGAGAGAGAGAGAGAGAGAGAGAGAGAGAGAGAGAGAGAGAGAGAGATCATGTGAGTAAAGCAAGGCGGTCGTTCTCTCTCGTGAGATTCTGCCAGGACTCGGGACTTGCCTCTGCCAGGACAGCACCCATGGCTTGGCGACTAGCGACTTGATGTGCGCTGCTGATGGCTCCAATCCAATCCATCACCGGTGCTGCTGCTGGTAGGGGGTGCTGCAGGAGGGGAAGGAGGGGAAAAGAGGGTAGTGAGAGGAAGGAAAGACGGGGAGAGGGGGTAGTGAGGGGGAGTGTGAGCAAAAAGCAAGGCGGTTGTTCTTTCTTGTTTTTCTCACCAGCATGTGTTGGTGCAACGGTGCGTTGCCCCCCTTGTTGAGATGACACGCCTCAAAAGGACTGGCAGAGAAAAAGGACAAAAGAGCAGCACTACTCTCTGTAAAGCAGGTTGTTCTTCCTTCTCCTTCTCACCGGCTGTGTTGCTTCCCTGGCCGCCGCTTGTTGACACACAGACACACCTCAAAAGGACTGGCTGAAAAAAGGACAAAAGAGAAGCAATATCTGTGAACCATCATCCAAGCTGCTCTTTCTTCTCTCTTTTTTTTTTTTTTGAATTCTCAAAAAACAGTCTCACCGGCATGTGTTGGTGCCCTGCGCGCTGCTGCTGCAACTGCTGGCGCAGCTGCTGCTGCTGCCGCCGTCTCTGCTGAAGCTGATCGGAAGTGGTAGCAGAGGAGGGTGAGAAGGAACCCGAGGGCCAGAGCAGCAGAGGGGCGATCCATGTTGCGGCAAAGCGAGCTATGACGTCTGGCACCTGCGATGGGGGCGGCGGGGTGGAAGGGAATGGGGAGAAGGAGGGGCGGAGGAGAGGAGGGACGACGAGAAGGGGAGGAAGGCGGGAGGGGAGGAGATGTTGAGGCAAAAAGAGCTATGCTGTCAGGCACCTGCGATTGGGGCGGATGGGAGTAGGGGCGGGAAGGCGGAGCAGCGGAGAGGAGGAGGGAAAGGGGGGAAAAGAGGTGAGGAGACAGAGAATGGGGTTAAGGCAAACGAGAACTGTAGACAGCAGTTGAGGCAGAGAATGGTGTGAGAAAAAGCAGCTACGCAGAAGAGGAGTACTGAAAATACTCTGGTGAGAGAAGAATGATGAAGAACAGCGCACTCAGCAAACTGCATGAACAAGGGTCCGTCATTCAGAGTATCAGACATTGATGGTTGAGCTAGGCACATGCACATGCACATGCACATGCACATGCACATGCACATGCACATGCACAGGCACAGGCACAGGCACAGGCAAAGGCACATGCACAGGCACAGGCACAGGCACAGGCACAGGCACAGGCACAGGCACAGGCACAGGCACAGGCACAGGCACAGGCACAGGCACATGCACAGGCACAGGCACATGCACAGGCACATGCACAGGCACAGCCACAGGCACAGGCACAGGCACATGCACAGGCACAGGCACAGGCACAGGCACAGGCACAGGCACAGGCAAAGGCACAGGCCCAGGCACAGACACAGGCACAGGCACAGGCACAGGCACAGGCACAGGCACATGCACAGGCACAGGCACAGGCACAGGCACATGCACAGGCACAGGCACAGGCACAGGCACAGGCACATGCACATGCACATGCACATGCACATGCACATGCACATGCACATGCACATGCACATGCACATGCACAGGCACAGGCACAGGCACAGGCACAGGCACAGGCACAGGCACAGGCACAGGCACAGGCACAGGCACAGGCACAGGCACAGGCACAGGCACAGGCACAGGCACTGGCACAGGCACAGGCACATGCACATGCACATGCACATGCACATGCACATGCACATGCACATACACAGGCACAGGAACAGGCACATGAACATGCACATGCACATGCACATGCACAGGCACAGGCACAGGCACAGGCACAGGCACAGGCACAGGCACAGGCACAGGCACAGGCACAGGCACAGGCACATGCACAGGCACAGGCACATGCACAGGCACATGCACAGGCACAGCCACAGGCACAGGCACAGGCACATGCACATGCACAGGCACAGGCACAGGCACAGGCACAGGCACAGGGATAGGCACGGGCACAGGCACGGGCACAGGGACAGGCACAGGGATAGGCACGGGCACAGGCACGGGCACAGGCACAGGGACAGGCACAGGGATAGGCACGGGCACAGGCATGGGCACAGGCACGGGCACAGGCACAGGCACAGGCACAGGCATAGGCACAGGCACAGGCACAGGCACATGCACAGGCACAGGCACAGGCACAGGCACAGGCACAGGCACAGGCACAGGCACAGGCACAGGCACAGGCACAGGCACATGCACAGGCACAGGCACAGGCACAGGCACAGGCACATGCACAGGCACAGGCACAGGCACATGCACATGCACATGCACATGCACATGCACAGGCACAGGCACAGGCACAGGCACAGGTACAGGCACAGGCACAGGCACAGGCACAGGCACAGGCACAGGCACAGGCACATGCACAGGCACAGGCACAGGCACAGGCACAGGCACATGCACAGGCACATGCACAGGCACAGGCACAGGCACATGCACAGGCACAGCCACAGGCACAGGCACAGGCACATGCACAGGCACAGGCACAGGCACAGGCACAGGCACAGGCACAGGCAAAGGCACAGGCACAGGCACAGGCACAGGCACAGGCACAGGCACAGGCACAGGCACAGGCACATGCACAGGCACAGGCACAGGCACAGGCACATGCACAGGCACAGGCACAGGCACAGGCACAGGCACATGCACAGGCACAGGCACAGGCACATGCACATGCACATGCACATGCACATGCACAGGCACAGGCACAGGCACAGGCACAGGCACAGGCACAGGCACAGGCACAGGCACAGGCACAGGCACATGCACATGCACATGCACATGCACATGCACAGGCACATGCACATGCACATGCACATGCACATGCACATGCACATGCACATGCACATGCACATGCACAGGCACAGGCACAGGCACAGGCACAGGCACAGGCACATGCACAGGCACAGGCACAGGCACAGGCACAGGCACATGCACAGGCACAGGCACAGGCACAGGCACAGGCACAGGGATAGGCACGGGCACAGGCACGGGCACAGGGACAGGCACAGGGATAGGCACGGGCACAGGCACGGGCACAGGCACAGGGACAGGCACAGGGATAGGCACGGGCACAGGCATGGGCACAGGCACGGGCACAGGCACAGGCACAGGCACAGGCACAGGCACAGGCACGGGCACAGGCACAGGCACAGGCACAGGCACAGGCACAGGCACAGGCACAGGCACAGGCACAGGCACAGGCACATGCACATGCACATGCACATGCACATGCACATGCACATGCACATGCACATGCACAGGCACAGGCACAGGCACAGGCACAGGCACAGGCACAGGCACAGGCACAGGCACAGGCACAGGCACAGGCACAGGCACAGGCACAGGCACAGGCACAGGCACAGGCACGGGCACAGGCACAGGCACAGGCACATGCACATGCACAGGCACGGGCACATGCACATGCACATGCACATGCACATGCACATGCACAGGCACAGGCACAGGCACAGGCACAGGGATAGGCACGGGCACAGGCACGGGCACAGGGACAGGCACAGGGATAGGCACGGGCACAGGCACGGGCACAGGCACAGGGACAGGCACAGGGATAGGCACGGGGATAGGCACGGGCACAGGCATGGGCACAGGCACAGGCACGGCAGGCAAAGGCTCGGCTTTCCCCTCCCCACCTCGCCCTCCCCTCCCGACCTCTCCCTCC